ATTTGTGGGAAAATTCTACTTCTACCAGTCCTTCATCACCTTAAACGAAATTGGGTGAATACATCTCATAAGTCCATTTCAGTCAAATCTGGATGAGAACACCTTTTGGGAAGTAAGGCTATGCGAAATTCGATGGCATTCTGAAGCCTATTTATATGATTCTGTCGGAAAATCCAACTATCAGTTCTTCATCATGTCATGCGGCCTAGGCTGACAATAATTCTTATTCACGATTTACAAATAGTCTCGAAAGCCTATTTTATCTGAATAAAAGTGTGTAATGCCGTTTGTATGCTCTCAAATGACTGTGCGGTTAGCATATCAATTAAAATAAGTGTATGCATGTGGTTATGTGTATGTGTATGTTTGTGTGTACACAGACAATGCCTACATTCGGTGTTAACGCTAACGGGAGCAGCGACCGCCTCGGGAATAGCGGCTGGGCCGAAAAACATAAGACAGTTTGCCACGAAAATGGCCAAGGGAATAAGAATGAGGAGGAGCTGTATCAAAGAAGAGAGACAGACGAAGGGGTGACGACGATGACAAAAGCGGACAAGAGTGAGCGAGAGAGAGAGAGCAGTGAATTGAGTTACTGAGATAAATACGGAAATGTGAAAAGGACAAATCTAATGACAGAGAATGCATAAGTTATTAGCAAGCCCAAGTTACTCTACGAGCGGCTGATGTCATTTTGAAGTTGCGACAGCAACTCGGTTTGTCCCGCGTCAAAAGCAGACGTGCAGGGGGAAGAAGGGAATAGAGGAGACAAGCAAAGCCTTGGGTCTCTTCTGGACAACATTGATTATGTAATTAAGGCGGTATCGACTGGCCAATGGGGGCTGGACGACAGGAAACCAAGCCCCTCTGGCGGGGGAGGGTCAACTTGAACTGGTCGAGTTGTCTGCAAGTGGACGGACCGGGGGCTAGGCAACAAGGCTTTCAGGACAGAGATCAATAAAGGCAAGTTGTGGGTGAGGCGAGTCAAGGTCTTCTCGTGGATCAGGACTCGTTCGAGTGGGCCGATCGGTGCGACGAGTCGAGAACTCGGTCGACTGGAACCGTGGGCCGTTTTCGAGATTACCCGAACATTATGAACAATTCGAAAAGCCTTAAGCAGAATCCGTTTGGTAGAAGAGAAGGAGAGAGAGAGAGATAGAAAAAGAGAGGATCGGATTGTCATCGTATCGCTTGACACGGTGACATGGTGACAGAACAGCGAGCCTCAGTTACTGTCGTTGTGGCAGCACAATTTATGCTCTGTAAAACTTTTGTCTTATTCTGATTCGGGGTCTGCAGCAGTTTGGCCAAAGTGAGCAAAGATATGCTCAACTTTGTCTAAGATCTCTAAGGCGACGCCATTTTTGTGTGTATGTAGGGTTTCGAGATTACTAGCAAATGACCTTGAACTAAATGATATTCACACATCTCGCATATTTGATTTACTGGTAGTCTCGAAGGCATGCCTACAAATGAAAAGTAGGCAAGAAAATAATACTCTGCTTCATCGATGATCACACCACAAAATGCGTTATGGGAAATTCGCGTATGCTCTGTGACCCAAGGGCACTCGTTGCAATGTGGCGTTGTGGTTGTGGCAAGGTTGTACGCGGCACAACCACAAGCCGGGTTCGAGCCCTGCTGAGGGTTTCGATAAGACCTAGGCTAGGTTGAAATTAAATTCCACTTCCTTCTGGTGAAAATACCTTTTGCGAAAGAAGAGTGATGTGAGATGCCATGGCAACTGATATGATTGTGGGAAACTTCAACTACCAGTTCTTCATTGCTTTAAATGAAGTAAGGTAAACCCATATCATAAACACAATTTTACTGCGAAAATTTCGAGTATGTTTGTTGCAGAGGTATGAAGAAACGTGATCGGTACATGATAGTGAATAAAATGGCCTTAAAATATTGGAAATTAACAGGATTTCTCCTTACACGTTGTACAGTTTTGTCGCTGTACGTTACTTACGAGCACTTTTCCCCATTCACGCTCTTCTGAATTCCATATGACGAATACACATTCGCTTCAGAGACACACCCCCTATATAGGAATATGCTATGATAGAGGCCTAGCTGGCCTTGGAATTCACTTCTGCTCTATGACGGAATCTCAGTCGTCGCAGTCTGGCGCAGTGGTAACACATCGAAATCACACATTATGCCCCGATGGGGGTTTTATGGGACCTAGGCAAAGTCGAAACTACGGTCGAGTATGAATTAGAAATTGCTTTTTGGGAAGCACAGCTAAGTAGAAGCCAACGACATTGGGAAACCGACAGTTATTATTTTGGGAAAATTGACTATCAATTCCGGATCAACTTAAACGAAATAGAACGACTAAAGTTCTCATTTGAGGGAATTGCATTTCGTACGAAAGTGCACGAAGAAAAGATCCAAAGGTCGATCTCACTCGTTCTACTGTTGCCGTTTGACTTAAATTCAGGTTGGTACAGTTCACGATACATCCTCCCTCGTTTCGGGGACTCATTCTTGCAAAAAGTCTCATGTTAATACTAGATCAACACACGCATACACACTCATTCGTGCACAAGTGGCAGCACCAATATGAAAGATACCTACTTTTCGTATATAAATAAAGTTTCGAGACAACCATTGAATAAGTCATATGAGATCTATTCACCCTATTTCGTTTAAGGTGATGAAGAACTGGTGCTAGCATTTTCACACAATGGTATGAGAAGGGCTGACGTTTCCATTGAATTTCGCATAGCCTTGCTTTTCAAAAGTTTTTCTCATCCACCTTTTGGGAAATCAGGACAATGTGAAATTCAATGGAAACGTCAGCTCTACAATATAATTCTGGGAAGATGCTACCACCAGTACTTCATCACCTTAAACGAAATAGGGTGAATACATATCATATGAAAGATAATTAGCCTAACAACTCTATATACATATATGCCTATTCCTTTTCATTTTTTTAGTTATGAATGTATATAAAAGGTAAGATTGGGCCGGATAGTCTTTTCGACCGAGTGCTAACGTGAGACTTTTACAAGAATGACTTCCAGCTCTGATGAGGTCCGAAACGAGGGAGGACGTCTCGTGGGCTGCACCAATCTGCACGTCAGTCAAAGAGCTGCAGCAGTACAACTTTCATATGAAATGAAAGTGCAATTTTATCTCAAAAGATTCATCGAAACACATTTACTTTTGGTATCCATTAAGATCTTATTCAAGGTCAAGTTACAGTTCCAAATCCAGCTTATTTACTTATCTTTTTCACACTCTGCATAGTTTTGTCGCTGTTTGTCTCTTTTAAGCACTCCCAGACCATACGCTAAAATACGCCATCCATAATATTTTCTTTTTCACATGAGTTTGGAGGTGATGTTTTGGTTGAACCAGTGTTTTCAGTCCAGAACAACATTGTACAGACCACTTACAATGCGAATCTATACTTTATAAAATGCTGTCTCACCTCTTCCCTTCATATCAGACCGTTGAAAGTCTACCTTTCCAGATTGTCCACCAGCGACGCAATTCTTCAAAAATGATACAGGTTCATCTCCTTTTTTGCAACATGGTCTTCTTCTCCAGCATACCACGTACTCTGCCATTCTTCCTCCGGATAAATGCCCCAAGCGTGATTTCATGACCTTAAGCGAATAGCACCAGCCTTAGCGACGAGCTATTATTCGACTAGGTGACTCTAAATGACTTGTCACTTTGTAGGAAGACATGACAATAAGGAGAGGCATTGACAAAGTGAGTAAGTTGCGAGAGCTGGGTCAAACTAAGTCTATAGAAGTGGATTGACCTCGTTGTCGCAACTTGGTCTTGTTGTCAGGGCGACTATGTAGAACGCACCTAGTCCGATGTCGTCTACCATAGTAGTTGTCATGACTCCCAGTGGACTTGGTACATTCTCAAACGTAGTCGGCATCATTGGTGAGTTTAGCCATTCTCCGTACCAAACTACGAACTCGTCAGAGACAAGTGAAGCCAATCCCTCGACAAATGTTCCGCCGAAAACGGAACACTCTCACTCATCTTTCTGTACTGGCCTATCT